AGAGTTCCAGGCTGCAGTGAGCTATGATCACACCACCACACTCCAGTCTGGGTGACAAATGAGAACCTGTCTCTTTAAAACATATGCCGGCCAGGCATGGTGGCTCACACTTATAATCTCGGCACTTTGAGACGCCAGGACGGGAGAACTGCTTGAGCCCAGAAATTTGAGACCAGTTTTACCACCATAGCCGAGACTCCAACTCTACAAAAAAAATTTTAAAACTTAGCTGGGTGTGGTGGCGTGTGCCTGTGATCCCAGCTATCAGGAGGCTGAGGAGAATCGCTTGAACCCAGAAGGCAGAGGTTGCAATGAGCCTCTCTGCAAAAAAAAAAAAAAAGAGAAAGAAAGCTGCAGACCCTCTCCTGCCTTACAGCCTCTTCCTCCTGCCTGTCACACTGTCCCCACTGCCGCCTTCATGGCTGGCTTCTCCTCCTTATTCAGGACTCAGTTCATAGGCACTTTCTTGGGTCTCAAGGTACCCTCAAGCACAAACTACCATTTTATTTGCTTCCTGACACTGTGTTTCCTGTTGGGTTTATTTTCTTTCTTTTTTGTTTTTTAGAGACAGGGTCTCACTCTGTTGCCCAGGCTAGACTGCAGTGGCACCATCACAGCTCACTGTAACCTTGAATTCCTGGGCTCAAGTGACCCTCCGGCCTCAGCCTCCTGAGTAGATGGGACCGCAGGCCTGTGCCACGACACCTGGCTAATTTTTAAATCTTTTTTAGAGATGGGGTCTCGCTATGTTGCCCAGGCTGGTCTCAAAGTCCTGAGCTTAAGTGATCCTCCTGTCTCGGACTCCCAAAATGCTGGGATTACAGGCATGAGACACTGCGTCTGGCTGGGTTTATTTTCTTCATCCTAGTTACTCTTCCCTCTGTGACCGGAAAGGTAAGCTCCCCAAGGGCAGCAGCCTAGTGGGCCTTGCCCCTCACTCTGTCCCAGCTCTTAGAAAACTGACAGGCAAGGCGGGGTGCGGTGACTCACGCCGTTAATCCCAATAGTTTAGGAGGCCGAGACAGGCAGATCACCTGAAGTCAGAAGTTCAAGTCCAGCCAACATGGTGAAACCCTGTCTCTACTAAATATACAAAAACTAGCTGGCTATGGTGGTGGATGCCTGTAATCCTAGCTACTCAGGAGGCTGAGGCAGGAGAATCTCTTGAACCCAAGAGGCAGAGGCTGCAGTACGCCAAATCATGCCACTGCACTCTGTGGTGGGCATCTGTATCCCAGCTACTCTGGAGGCTGAGGCAGGAGAATTGCTTGAACCTGGGAAGTGGAGGTTGCAGTGAGCCAAGATCCTGCCACTGTACTCCAGCCTGGGTGACAAGAGTGAGACTCTGACTCAAAAAAAAAAAAAAAAAAAAAAATAGCCGGGCATGGTGGCAGGCATCTGTAATCCCAGCTACTCGGGAGGCTGGGGCAGAAGAACTGCTTGAACCCAGAAGGTAGAGGTTGCAGTGAGCTCAGATCATGCCACTGCACTCCAGCATGGGCAACAGAGCAGGACTCTGTCTCAGAAAAAAAAAAAAAAAAAAAAAGAAAGGAAACTGACAGGTACACAGTGGCGCCTGAAGCACCAGAACACACTGCTAGTGAGCATCAAAGGCCGGTTCCAACCTATGAACTGCTGAGACTTTTCTCCTGCCAGCAGCCAGCTTGTGCTACAGAGGCAGGAAATGCCTTCTGGTCCAGAATGGGCCTGGGGAGCACACGGAAGAAAGTCTCTATGGCCTAGGAAGACCACATCCTGTGCAGCTGCTAATGAAGGCAGCATCTCTGGGAGGCACAGCCTGGCCATCCCCTTACCCTAGATGCTCCGGTACATGACAGAAGAGAAGGGTGAAAATCTCAGCTCCAGAGATGCCCTTCCCAGCTTCCCACCACATCCACATCCCTGCTCACCCAGCTGCCTTTTTTCTTTTTTTTTTGAGACGAAGTCTTGCTCTGTCTCCCCTGCTGGAGTGCAGTGGCGCGATCTCGGCTCACTGCAACCTCCACCTCCCGGGTTCAAAAGATTCTCCTGCCTCAGCCTCCCAAGTAGCTGGGACTACGTCATGTGCTACCGTCCCTGGCTAATTTTTGTATTTTTAGGAGAGATGGGGTTTCACTGTGTTGGTCAGGCTGATCTCGAACCCTTGACTTCAAGTGATCCACCAGCCTTGGCCTCCCAAAGTGCCAGGAGAGTGTGCACCCAAAGTTAGCCACGGGTGCAAAGCCAGGAGTTTTCTTTCTGGTGACTCTCCTAAAGCCGGAGAAAGGCCATTCAGCAGCAAGGGGAGTGACTTTCCCACTACAAACTGGATTCCTGGTATCCAGCTTCCTGGATCCCTGTTACCAACCCACACGGCCCAGCAAGTGAGAAGGAAGTCAACCTTTAAAGCCACCAGGGCTCTCACTGCATTCAAGATGATAAAAACAAAAGCCAACAGTGTATTTCCGAGTGCTGAGCATCAAGCAGCAATCACAACAGCTTAGGCCAACGTAACTATGCTAGCAATTACTTTGTATTTAGTTTGTTTCAGCAATTCCTATGTATTTGATGTTCAACAGGTATTGTTTTCTGGGATCCATAGCACAAAAACATGAGATTGAAATGGCTCCCAAGGATTACCGCCCCTAGATGAAAGGAGGGGAAACTGAGGCCCAGAGAAGTTAAGTTACTCGCTAAGAGCACACAGCTAGAAAAGCTGACTGTTTCAAGGACAAGCAAACCGACCCAGTGTTCTCTTTCGAGTCAAATGACTCCTCTGGGCTCAGGTCCTTTACCTGTAAATGCAACTGGTGGGTAAGGGAGGCTGAGGCAAGCAGCAAGACCAGATAATTGGTAACATCACTTTCTGCTCAGTTAGCTTTTTTTTTTCTTTGAGGCAGAGTCTCACTCTGTTGCCCAGGCTGGAGTACAATAGCACAATCTCAGCTCACTACAATCTCTGCCTCCCAGACTCAAGCAACTTTTGTGCCTCAGCCTCCCAAGTAGCTGGGATTACAGGCACACATCACCATGCTTGGCTTAGCTGGTCTCCAACTCCTGACCTCAGGTGATCCGCCTGCCTCAGCCTCCCAAAGTGCTGAGATTACAGGCATGAACCACCATGCCTGGCCTGCTCAGTTAGCCTTTCTAAGAAGCACTGGCCGGGTCCCAGCACTTTCGGAGGCCGAGACGGGCAGATCACAAGGTCAAGAGATGGAGACCATTTTAGCCAACATGGTGAAACCCCATCGCTACTAAAAATACAAAAATTAACTGGGCGTGGTGGTGGCCGCCTGTAATCCCGGCTCCTCAGGAGGCTGAGGCAGGAGAATCACTTGAACCTGGGAGGTGAAGGTTGCAGTGAGCCCAGATCACGCCACTGTACTCCAGTCTGGCAACAGTGCATGATTCCATCTCAAAAAAAAGTGCTGATGATCCTTCTAGCAACTTGGCATGTCTAGATTTTTTGTTTGTTTTACTGAAAAATTAATCTCTACCTGTCCTAACTTTCAAGGAGCCTTGCCTCTTCTAAAAAGCCTTGCCCTTTTTTCTCCAAGAAGCACCTGGAAAAGTGAGAACCCGCCCCCATCCCCAGCCTCATCTCAAACTCTTGGGGAAAAGCCTGAAATAATCCTTTTCCATGGAATTTATTGACTGATTTAAAAGGAAATGGCTGTAGTTTGCACAGCGACACTAAGCTCAAAAAGCAAGACGGAGAATATGCCAAGTAAACTTGGCCTGGCTGGCTACTTAAAAAAAAAATTCTTCCCTGAGCTGGCAAGACCTTATCACCCTAAAAAGCAGTGGCAAAGATTCTCCTCTCACAAATATGGATAGCTTCCCCTTCCCTCTGACCGCTGCTGCCCACGTGGCCCCAGCGGCTGGGACCTTGTCAGTGACATGTGACTCGGTTGACACTCATTTGACACAAAAACATGTGTCTGGCCAAGAGAAGCAGCTTAAAAAAAATCTAACAAACTTCCTCAGGCGCTATTTTGCTCCCCCTTTCCCAGTAAGGGAGACCTTGATGGGCAGGACCCAGAAACAAGCCATTGCCAAGAACAAGCCCCCGCAACCCCAAACCAGGGAACATCAGGTCTCAAACAGCAGCCCAGAAAGAAGCGCTCAGGTTTCTGTTCCTCTAAAGCAGTCCCTCATGATCACTCCTCCCTGCCATGGACTTTGATTTCTGCAAACCAAATCCTCCAAGCTAAATCCAAGTCAACTCCTAGCTCCTCCATGAGCCTGAAACTCTGCTTCCCCTCGTTTCCTCCCAGAGAGAAGGTGGCAGGTTTAGGAGTGGGCTGCAGTGCTGAAATCAGGACTAGCTGACATTTTATCAAACCACATTCAGAAATAGTAGATAGCAGGAAAAGGTTCAAAGATACGTCCTGGGTGAAATTCCTGAAAGGAATAAGGAGTCCCTATACTCCAGAAAAAGAGTCATGTCAATGATTCTCCCCATTATAAAGGATGGAAAACTGAGGCCTCAGATGGACAGGCACTTGTCCAAACTCTGAGTCCTAGGCACAAGTGCAAGGCTCTTAAGGAAGAAGGGAGTCGCTCAAGGATGTGGAAGGAGGCCGGGGTGGTGGCTGCCCCACCCGGTTCCGGAGGTGGAGGTCGGGGAGACCCAGCCGACCCCGCCCACACCTTCCCTCTTGGCTCCGCCCACCTACCTTGGACCCGCCTCGTCCCTCCCTCACTCCTATTGGCCCAGCCTCCCCAGGCCCGCCCCTTCGCGCCTCCCGACATATAAAAGCCCCCCGCCCCGGCCTGCCGACCTCCACTCGCCGCCGGCCTTAGAGCGCCCGCCCCTCGCGGGGGCCGGGCTGCGGGGACGGGAGCGGGTGGTGTCGTTCCAGCCGGGCCCCGGCCCCCTCCCCCACGGTCCAGACAGTCGGCGCCGCCATTTTGACCACCCGCCCCTTCCCCCCGAACTGTGATTACAGAGACATCCGCTGCCCCGTCCCTGCCGCCCACCCCTGCCCAGCCAGCCACCCCTGGGCCGCCCCGGTTACCTCCGCTTCTCCCTACCTCTGTCTGCGGAAAGGCTTTTCGGAGGTCTCGGAGTCGATGTTGGGAAGGGGACGGGACGTGCTGGGGGGTCCCCGGGCCGGGCCGGGGGGGTGGGGGTGGGGGTCGGCCAGGCGGTTGTTGTTGTTGACTCGCGTTGCCGGGTTGCTTGGTCGCCACGACTACCGTGGCTATGGCGCCTCCGTTTCCCTCACCGGGGCAACTGTTGCTACCCACCCTACTTACGTCACGTTTCGGGGGCGGGGCCCCGGGTGATTGGCGGCGCCGGGAGAAGTGATTGGACGGCGCCAACCCTTGCCGCTAAACTATTGGTCGCGAGGCACGCTTTTCAACACCCTCTCGACTTCCTGGCGATCTGATTCATTGATATAAATGTCCATCAAAAGAAACTGAACCCTCAAAGGCAGCGGGGCCCGTCACTCCCGCAGGGAAGCAGCTGGCTAAGACTAAAGGGGTGGGACTTGTGAGGACGGGATTGGTTTGCCGCTCAGAAAACCGGCCTCCTGGTTCGACTAAAGGGACGTCAATATACCAAAGGTTTTCCGCGGTCTCTGGCAGGAGGCTGTGCGCATGCTCGGCACGCAAGGCCGATTGGGAGTTGTAGTCCGCTCTACGTATACTTTATATGTCTTACCAAATTAAAAAGGCGACAAAGGAAAGCTCCCCTCCAGACTTCTCTCTGTCGGTGGGCCAGTTTCTGGCCTCTCGCGCTGACGTCAGGGGAGGAATGAGGTGACGCAGCGCAGCCCCTCTGTGACGTCAGCGGCGAAGGCCGGGCTTGGGGTTCGATGACGTCACTGGGCGTTCTTCCTTCCCCCCGCCCCAACCAAACACGCACCCCGCCCTTACTGCCCATGGTCAGGCCTGGGTTGGGTGGACGCGGGAGGCTGGGGTGGGGTTTGATTCCAGCTCCCACCCCCTGGAGCGACATCCTCCTCCGCCCAGACCGGCCAGACGTCGCGGCCACCGCGCCCTTTCCCGCCTCCCGCTTCCCTCCAACCGGAAAAGGTCACCGCTGCCAGGGTGACCGCCGCTATCTCTGCCCCGCAGGCAGTGCGCCCGCCCTGGGAAAGGTCTCTGCAAGGCGGGGGACTTCATTAGCGGCTTCAAATGCGGTAGATAAGTAAAGGTCAGCGCCCAGCGCAGCTCAGGGAGCTCCGTGTGCCCAGGAGAGCTCCCCACAGCCCCCGCCACCATTCTCCCACACATACGCTCCTCCTTGCCTCAGTTTCCCCAAGGGATTGTCCCGGTGCTGCAGGAGGAGAAGAGACAGAAACAGGGTCGGCACTAGGGTGAGCATCTTGGGCGCAAAAACTCAGTCATCAAGATAAATAATAATCTAATTCAGTATTTGTTAAACATCCAAATTAATGGGAAAAAATAAATCTATGATGAACAAAACATCACAATTTTAAATAAAGACAGGACCCGCGAACACATGCATTAAGGTCAGATGCGTCATGCAAGCTCAGGGTTAGATCTTGAGTTTTAAAAAATGTTTCTTTTTAATATTTTGGTCTTTTTAGTTTTTATATTTTTAGGTTTTAACTTTTTAAATATCAATTATCTTATGACCGAGCTCTTTGGCCTTCTCTTAAATTTTGCAATCTCATCCCAGGAAGGCCTAGAACAAGAAGGGGAAAAGAAAATGAAGTCTAATGCCAGCCTTGCTGTGTGGCATTCAGAAAGTGACTCCACCTCTCTGAGTTTATTTCCTAGTTCAATCAACATATTTCCTCAGTGCAAGGCCCTGGGCTATAAAAGTGAAGAAAGGTGACTTCATTTATGGTGGCTTACACTTGTAATCCCAACACTTTGGGAGGCCAAACTAGGAGGATTGTTTGAGCCAATGAGTTCAAGACCACTCTTGGCAACATACCAAGACACCTGTCTCTACAAAAATTAGCTGGGCCTGGGCATGGTGGTGCACACCTGTAATCCCAGCCACTCCAGAGGCTGAGGTGGGAGGATCGATTGAACCTAGGAGGTGGAGGTTGCTGTGAGCACAGATTGGCCACTGCACTCCAGCCTGGTTGACAGAGTGAGACTCTGCCTCTAAAAAAACAGACAGGCCGGGCGTGGTGGCTCACGCCTGTAATCCAAGCACTTTGGAGGCCAAGGCAGGCAGATCACCTGAGGTCAGGAGTTCAAGACCAGCCTGACCAACATGGTGAAACCCTGTCTTTTTTTTTTTTTTTTTTTTGAGACGGAGTTTCACTCATGTTACCCAGGCTGGAGTGCAATGGCGCGATCTCGGCTCACCGCAACCTCCGCCTCCTGGGTTCAGGCAATTCTCCTGCCTCAGCCTGAGTAGCTGGGATTACAGGCACGGACCACCATGCCCAGCTAATTTTTTGTATTTTTGGTAGAGACGGGGTTTCACCGTGTTGACCAGGATGGTCTCGATCTCTTGACCTCGTGATCGGCACCCGCCTCAGCCTCCCAAAATGCTGGGATTATAGGCGTGAGCCACCGCACCCGGCCCACCCATCTCTTTTCATGGGACTTTCCACTGCCCCGGCTGTGACCCTGGATGAGAGAAGAGAAACAGCAGCAGCTCCAGGTGGCCTGGAAATACCAGCTGAGCCCCAGCCCTGAGAAGTACCTCGAAGAATTAATGAGGCTTGCAGGCAGGCAGTGCCCGAGACTGAATCCCAGGTGGCAGTACAAGTCACAGCAGAGTCCCAGGACCAGCCACGGGGTCTTCATTTTTGGGTGGAAACCTAGAAGCCCTTTCTCCACCTCCTACCCATTTCTCCAATGCCCAGAAGTGGCTGGATCAAGCACGGAGACCATGTCGTCCATTAAAAATATTCAGCTGGGCACAACAGCTCACACCTGTAATCCCAGCACTTTGGGCGTGATGGCACACACCTATAATCCCAGCTATTCCAGAGGCTGAGGCAGGAGAATGGCTTGAACCTGGGAGGCGGAGGTTGCAGTGAGCCAAGATCAAGCCACTGAACTCTAGCCTGGGCAACAGATCAAAACTCTTTCTTAAAATAAATAAATAATCATTATAAGACTTTGTGGCTGGAAATGCAGGGTGGAGGCTGAAATGTTCTATATTTTTCTCTGGTGCACGTTGTACAGTATATAGTTGGTCCTCCCTGTATCCACAGGTTGCACATTGGAGGATTCAACCAACTGCAAATCAAACACTGAAATAGGTCTGCTCTGGTAATGGTATAAAAATAAGCACATAGGCTGGGCGTGGTGGCTCAAGCCTGTAATCCCAGCACTTTGGGAGGCTGAGGTGGGCGGATCACCTGGGGTCATGAGTTCGAGATTAGCCTGACAAACACGGTGAAACCCCATCTCTACTGAAAATAGAAAACTTAGCTGGGCACAGTGGCAGGTGCCTGTAATCCCAGCTACTCAGGAGGCTGAGGCAGGAGAATCGCTTGAACCCGGGAGGCAGAAGTTGCAGTGAGCCGAGATTATGCCGTTGCACTCCAGCCTGGGCCACCTCCTCCAGCGCAGAACCCACACTCTTAAGAGCACGGGGTTATGAGATCAGGACTAAGATGATTCCCATATTACGAATGAGGAAATGGAGGCGCTGAAAGGTGGCCTGAGGCAGCAGACCCCAACTTTTTTTTTTTTTTTGGAAACGGAGTTTTGCTCTTGTTACGAAGGCTGGAGTGCAATGGCACGATCTTGGCTCACGGCAACCTCTTCCTCCTGGGTTCAAGTGATTCTCCTACCTCAGCCTTTCGAGCAGCAGGTATTACAGGCATGCACCGCCATGCCTGTCTACTTTTGTATTTTTAGTAGAGACAGGGTTTCTCCATGTTGGTCAGGCTGGTCTCAAACTCCCGACCACCTCAGCCTCCCAAAGAACTGGGATTACAGGCTTGAGTCATCACGCCCAGCCAACCCCAAATGCTTATAGCCAACTGATCTTCGACAAAGCAAACAAAAACATAAAGTGAGGAAAGGACACCCTTTTCAACAGGTGGTGCTGGGATAATTGGCTAGCCACATGTAGGAGAATGAAACTGGATCCTCATCCCTTACCTTATACAAAAATCAACCCAAGTTGGGCTAAGGACTTAAGACCAGAAACTATAAAAATTCTGGAAGATAACATTGGAAAAACCCTTCTAGACATTGGTTTAGGCAAGGATTTCATGACGGAAATCCCAAAGGCAAATGCAATAAAAACAAAAATAGTGCTCGCTTCGGCAGCACATATACTAAAATTGGAACGGTACGGAGAAGATGAGCATGGCCCCTGCGCAAGGATGACACACAAATTCAAAAAGCGTTTGCTGAGACTTAAAGAGCTTTTGCAGCCAGGCGTGGTGGCTCACGGCTATAATCCCAGCACTCTGAGAGGCTGAGGCGGGTGGATGACCTGAGGTCAGGACTTCGAGACCAGCCTGGCCAATCCATGGTGAAACCCGGTCTCTACTAAAAATGCAAAATTAGCCAGGCGTGGTGGCACATGCCTATAATCCCAGCTACTTGGGAGCCTGAAGCAGGAGAATCACTTGAACCTGGGAGGCGGAGGTTATGGCGAGCCGAGATGGAGCCATTGCACTGCAGCCTGGGCAACGAGCAAAACTCCATCTCAAAAAAAAGTAAAAAAAGAGCTTTTGCGTGGCAGAAGTAACAGCAGAGTAAACAGACAACCCACAGAGTGGGAAAAACATCTTCACAATCTGTACATCCGGCAAAGGACTAATATCCAGAATCTACAATGAACTTGCACAAATCAACGATAAGAAAACAATCCCATCCAAAAGTGGGCTAAGGACATGAATAGACAAGTCTCAAAAGAAGAAACGCGAATGACCAGCAAACATGAAAAACGCTCCACATCACTAATGAGCAGGGAAATGCAAATCAAAACCACCATGCGATACCACCTTACTCCTGCAAGAATGGCCATAATCAAAAAAACAGCGGATGCCAATGACTACTAATGGACACAGTTAACAGGGGACACTTCTACGCAGCTGGTGGGAATGTAAACTAATAAAACCGCTATGGAAAACAGTGTGGAGATTCCTCAAGGAACTAAAAGTAGAACTACCTACCATTTGATCGAACAAACCCTCTGCTGGGCATCTACCCAGAGGAAAAGAAGTCATGCTACAAAAAAGATACTTGCCTATGCATGTTTATAGAAGCAAAATTTGCCACTGCAAAACTGTGGCACCAATCCAAATGCCCACCAATCAACGAACGGATAAAGAAACTGTGGATAGGCACGATGGCTCACACCTGTAATCCCAGTACTTTGGGAGGCCAAGGCGGGTGGGTCACGAGGTTAAGAGATCAAAACCATCCTTGCTAATGTGGTGAAACCCTGTCTCTACTAAAAATACAAAAATTAGCTGGGCGTGGTGGTGTGCACCTGTAATCCCAGCTACTCGGGAGGCTCAGGCAGGAGAATTGTTTGAACCTGGGAGCTGGAGTATGCAGTGAGCCAAGATCACGCCACTGAACTCCAGCCTGGCAGGAGAGCAAGACTCCATCTCAAAAAAAAAGAAAAAGAAAAATAGAAAGAAAAAACTGTGGATATATATACAATGGGAATACTACTAAGCCATAGAAAGGAATGCATTAATGGCATTCACAGCAACCTGGATGGAATTGGAGACCATTATTCTAAGTGAAGTAAGTCAGGAACAGAAAATCAAACATCATATGTTCTCACTCATAAGTGGGAGATGAGCTATAAGGATGCAAAGGCATAAGAATGATACAATAAGAGGCCGGGTGCAGTGGCTCACACCTGTAATCCCAGCACTTTGGGAGGCTGAGGTGGGTGAATCACAAGGAGTTCGA